TGAAGAATAAAGAATAAGAAGGGAGAAGGAGAAGAAAAAAAACTAAATACAATATTAAAAACATAAATTTCATATAAAACCAATAACATATTATCATATTTTACAATAACAACTCGTGTGTCTACAATATTGAATTAGTTGCACATAACTTATATTATCTTATTTTTAATTTTATATTTTTGTATTTACAAAATTTAATTTTAATCCTCATAACACATAAATAAACAATATATTATTAATATAACTACATTTTTTTTTGTAGGAGGGGGTGGGGGAGACATTGTCTCCTGATCTTATTCAAAACATAAAAACCAGCTACACACAAACTCTTCTTGGACGCGCAGAACCGATTATATCGTAACTGAAAATCGAAACTAAACTAGATGGAACCGAATCTAAAAACTGGACACCTAGAAGAAGGAAAAAGCAGAGTTAGCTAATCTATCAGCAAGACAATTAGCTTGTCTGTTAGCAAAAAAAAAGACAATTAGCTTTTCTATACACATATGAAAAACAGACTATCCATTCTCTCGAAATAAAGTCATGATACATATGTACCAGAAAACAGACTATCTTATAATATAATATATAATAAATCTTTTTATACTACATAATTTAAATATTTATAAAAATTACTTTAAGAATCATACTTTAAAAATATCCTAGATCCAACATCTAGTTATCAATTATGAGATAATAATACTATAAGAATGAGGCCATTAAAATTTGATGTGACAAATGGGTCCTAAAGGCTTTAATAGACTTCAATATGGGTCCAACGTGAAACATGAATATATACTATTCTGGAAGTTTGGTTGAAGTCCGATCACTTCAAAATACTTGTTTATAGACCATTTTTTTGTTTCTAATCTGACATTTCTGAGTTTTAATCATAAAATAACATTGTAAATGTACAGCAATACGCATTATAGAATCGAATCTACATAGAACAAAATTATACAACAATTTTATTTTTGACTTGATAAAATACTTAAAAACAAAAGTCAAAAACCCAACTTATCAGATTCAAAATATTAACGAGAGTTCTAAAGTTTGTTATCCCCCCCATCCGGCCCAAACTCAGACGTTATGCTTTAGGTTGAATAGACTGCAAAGAGTTAGGTGATGTAATGGTGAACGAACCTAGATAAGATGTGGCTATACGAAGTTGGCGCGGACACATCAACCGAATAATCTATCAAATCGTATAACAAAACTAAAATATGAGTCAAAGATATGATATACAACTATGTGCGGACACATCAACCAAATTTGATTAAACCGAGGCCAAACTAAATTATATATGGATCAGTTAGATCAATGCTTGAACAGAGTAAGAATTACTAAGAAAATAGCAAAAAACATTAAAATGTATCTTCTTGGTCGATTCCTTAAAAATATATTCATCTGATACATTTATTTGAATTTTTTACTCATGAACCTAAACCCATTACATTTCAAAACCCAAACATGTTGAGGATCATGCAGGCTATAATTCAAGATCTAACTGCCGCATCTACACCGTATCAATCATTACGAATTCATGGTACTGCTTTTGCCGTAAACATAGCATGATACAAAGATTCCCAACTCTAATTGACTAAGCTATCATTTTTAGTAACTCTTTTGTCATTTTATGTGAAACAGAAATATATGAAGGGTTATGCAGATTTTGTAAAACAATGCACACTCCCCGTTCTTGTACTTCTCATCCACTTGTGGCAGTTTAACATCAACACGACAAATTATGATCTCGAATGATAGAGACACTAAAGAGGCGGTGCGATTTTGTCCGTCGGTAGAAGCTGTATAAGTGCGATAGAAGCGGTTCTACTCTTTGAACCATTTCGGTTTTTTTATCGTGTTTCTTTAATCTCAAGAGTGTGTAAGTCATGTACACAAAAGAATCTTCTCTAATGGCGTCTACATGGATATTTGAAGCCTCCATGCCTATCGTTTCTTTTATCATCTTACTTCACTTCTTCAACAAGAAACCAAAGAAGAGCTTTATTACTAGGAACTGGCCCCTTCTTGGGATGCTTCCGGGTCTGCTCATTGTGATCCACCGGATCTATGACTTCACCGTGGAGCTTCTCGAGAAGTCCAACTTGACATTTCAATTCAAAGGTTCGTGGTTCACTGGAATGGACATGTTGGTCACGGTTGATCCAGCTAACATTCACTATATATTTAGCTCAAACTTCTTGAATTACAACAAAGGTCCTGAGTACAAAGAAGTCTTTGATGTTTTCAAGGATGTGATATTCAACGTGGATTCGGAGCTTTGGAAGAATCATAGGAAGGCTGCTCATACCATACTCAACCATCAGGAGTTTCACAGATTTTCAGTGAGTGCCACGAGAAGTAAACTCAAGAACGGGCTTGTGCCTCTTTTCAATCATTTTGCCGACAAAGGAAGGTCATGAACTTACAAGATGTGTTCCGGAGATTCATGTTTGATACAACAATGGTTCTTATAGCCGGTTCTGATCCTACAAGCCTCTCCATTGAAATGCCACGAAACGAGTTCGCTCAGGCTCTTACCGATGCTGGAGAAGCGATTGTGTATAGACATTTTAAACCTAGGCTCTTGTGGAAGCTACAAAACTGCATGAGATTGGGCCTAGAGAAGAAGATGGCAAAAGCTGATGCCGTTTTCGATCGTGTGTGCGCAAAATACATATCCGCTAAAAGAGAGGAAGTCAGATTGCAAGGGATTAGTAGTCATCATTTCACTAACGGAGAAGGGGAAGATTTGTTGACATCCTACATTAAGCTAGACACAACCAACTACGAGCTTTTGAATCCGAAAGACGATCTATTCCTTAAAGACATCATCTTGACGTACGTTATAGCCGGGAGAGATACCATTGCCTCTGCACTCACTTGGTTCTTTTGGCATCTCTCAGAAAACCCTAAAGTGGTGGCCAAGATTCGCCTAGATCCAAAACTGGTCTAGAGAAATCATCTTTTGATCCCTCTGAGCTTAACAAGCTGGTGTATCTACATGGTGCGTTGTATGAATCAATGAGGTTATATCCACCGGTTCCATTCGAGCGAAAATCTCCTAAAGAACCTGATGTGCTTCCAAGCGGGCATAAAGTCGATGCAAATTCCAAGATCATTATCATTCTTTACGCGCTTGGGAGGATGAGAGCTGTATGGGGAGAAGATGCATCTGACTTCAAACCAGAGAGATGGGTTTCCAAGAGTGGTAATGGAAGGCATGAACCTTCCTTCAAGTTCTTACCGTTTAATGCCGGTCCGAGAAGCTGCCTTGGTAAGCAACTAGCTATGATTCTCATGAAGACCATAGTTGTGGAGATATTACAAAACTATGACATTAATGTCGTCAAAGGCCAGAAGATTGAGCCACTTCCTGGTCTTATTCTTAGTATGAAACATGGGCTTAATGTCACAATTACTAAGCGAAATTCAGCTTAATGTAATCTATACCGTAAATTCAGCTATCTTTATGTATCTTATGTATGATCGGCGAGATGATTCAGATCTCTCACCTTACTATTATGTATTGTGTTTATGTGAAATGAATTGTCTCTGCTTAATAGTTTCTTATGTGACCTTTGTATTCTATTAGCATTCCTTTATGTTAGATTGAATGTTCACTAGTCATTTATTTATATTACTCTGTTAATATTGATTAAAACAAGAAAAGTGTGATCCTATATAGTAGTAGAAGCTAAATGACATAAATTAAAACAAAATTATCAATAACCTCCTCACATAGCAGAGTTTTCATTATCCACAAAATTGGGTGCGTAACGTATATGAAAGCAAAAAAAATGTTGAAGGCAATTTTAGAAAACCTATTCAAGTTTCAAATTAAAACTCTTTCAATATAATTGAGAACATATCGTTTACATTAACGGCGGCGTATAAACACCGTCTCCAAATCTGAAGGAGGCACAAAGTACTCTACACCGACTTTGTTCCGACACTTATTCAACGCAGGTCGGCGTTTCCTTGGCGCCGGCGGACATTTCAGTTTCTCCGACGTCTTTGCTTCCTTTGCCGCCGTTGGCGTGGAGCAAAACCCTTGAGTACCATTGCAGTGTTCTTCTTCAGCTTCTGTTTCTCTCTCCGGCTTTCTGAGTTTCGTCTTCACCGGCTTCAGTGATGCCCGAATAGAAATTTCAGCTAAGACCCATTTTTTCCCATCGGTGTCTAATCCTCTACCGACTTGAGATTTCTTCAAAAACCCCATTTTTTTTTCTTTGCTTGAGATTGCGGAGAATACAAGTAACAGAGTGAAATTAACAAAAAAAAGAAGAAGATCTTTTTCAAATGGAAGATGAAGTAGAACACGAAGAGTTGGAAAAAGAGTAGGCGAAAGATTCTTGCTTTTAAAGACAAGTTTGCTGCTTGCTTCCCCGGGAATCAAAAGAGAATGAAGCTTTCAGAGGAAGATTAGGTGAAGAGTAGGAAAGGGTAAAATCGGGAATTATGAATGTCTTTCTGCCCGGGAAAGTTACGGGTAGTTTCTAAATACCACCTTCCTTTCTAACTTTTGGCGCCATGGTTATTGAGAGTCTTAGATCACAACGGCTCTGTTTCCCGCCACTTTCTTCACAATTCCTTATTTTACCCACAATTGTTACAAACGAGTTATTTTCGATAACTTTTGTGAAAAATAACCTCATCAGCTTATTAAAGCAATGAAATATTATTGTGTTTTGATAAGTATTCAATCATACAAGTCTCTAATTTATATTATCTGTTTTTATAATATGTACTTGTCTCATATATTTTTCTAAAAAAAAAAAAAATTTCTATGACGTTGACACCTAAACAAAATTATAAAAGAAACAAATCTTTCTTTGTTATATAAGGAATCATTTTACATGTTTGATTAAATACACACTATTGTGTTCTATATTCTGATCTCCGAGCCAAATGGGCCAACATATTAAAGCCTATTCACAAAATCAACGGGCTTTATAAAGATAAAATTTACGGACTTTCTTCTTTTTTTAGGTGGTCAAATTTAAGGACTTTCTTTATTCTCTCCATAAGAAAGAAGTCAACGAATAACTTTTTCGAGATTTTGGGTTAAAATTAATTTTCCCGCGTCAAAGAGAGACCACACCGCCTAAAAAAACCCAAGAAGGAAAGATTATCCCGCCGGTTCCAAATCCTTTTACATTTCATCCCCGGCAAAATCTCCAATAACACATTTCTCTGCACCACTGCTCTCTTCTCTTCCTCTCTCTTCCTCGATTGCAGAGAAGCTCCGATGGAAAACTCCAGATCTACTAGATCCGTCTTCGTCGACATCGGACTAAGAGAGCTCAACGGATTCCGAGGTATATTCACACGATTACAAACAAATTTGCGTGCGTTTTTTCGGATCATGTAGCTCTCTCTTTGACGAGTTCGACGAGTTTCAGCTTCTTCTGATTGTTCTGATTTAACCCCTTTTTTTTTCTTTCGATTCCAGTAAGGAAGCGACCGTTCTTCGCAGATTCCGAGCTGATTTGCAGAGAAATCGCCGGCGTTTCTGTGGAACACGAAGGGATTCGAACTCCGCCGTTGGCCGTTTCCTTTTGTAAGGTATGTGGTTCACATACAGAATATTTTCCTTTTGTTTCAGTTGATTTTTTTTTTTCTAACTCCAACCCTAGATCCAATCTCATCGCTCGATGAGATCTTCTGATTATGTTGTGCATTTTAGTGGATTTTTAGAAAATTAAACCCGAATTATGGTTGATTGCGACTAGAATTAACGATTATGTTTAACTTACAGAGTAGCAGGAATTCTCAAGTATTCGCCGTGTCAGATGAAGATGGCTATGTGAGTCTCTTTAATTCGAGTAAGAGGTTTGCCTCTTCTTCATCTCACCAAGAGAATACAGGTATTGTCTCCTTCTCGGTGATAACCCTAATTTTTTTCTGGGGCTAAATTATGAATACTGAGTTGTGATTGTTTTTCAAATCGAATCATGTGCAGAGAATGCCAGATTCCGTGACTGGGTTGCTCATTACAATGCCGTCTTTGACATTTCTTGGATCAAGGTGCGACATTTGCTTGTTTTGTGAACTATGCATACGTTTTTAATTCATGAATTTTTTTTCTGGGATTAAGAGAAGCTCATTTGATGTGAAAACTTATCACAAATTTGTTGCAGGGAGATAGTTGTCTTCTGACTGCTTCTGGTGATCAAACTGTAAGTAGTGACCCACAAACATTGTCATTCACTAGTTTGTGTGTTATGATTCCAATGTTCATATACACTTATCTATTAACTTGGATGCAGATTAAAGTATGGGATGTTGAGGAGAGCAAGTGTACTGGAGTCCTTGTAGGACACACAGGAACAGTGAAATCAATGTCTTCACATCCAACAAATTCTGGTTAGTTTCTTGCAATTTCCCTCTTCCTGATTTGCTAATTGGTATCTTCCATCAATTTATCATTAACTCTTGCTGTTTTTGCAGATCTTCTTGTCTCTGGTTCGAGAGATGGATGTTTTGCGCTATGGGACATGAGATGTAAAAGTAGCTCTCACAATGACGAGTCTTGCATCAAGTAAGTCCTTCTCTCTAAACTTAGTTTGTGAAGATCTTTTTCGCCTTTTTTTCATTGAAACCATCTTAATAGTTGTTTTTCTAACCTTCATACAGCTCTACTGGCATGGTTAAAGGAGCTCACTTGTCTCCTCTTTCAAAACGAAACACACGTCGCAAGGTTTTACTACGGCTCATTCCTGACTTTTACTTTCTAATCTGTTTATCCTATCTTCTCCGCTGATGTATTCATGTTTTCAGGCTGCTTCATCAAGCATTACCTCTGTGCTTTATCTCAAGGACGAGATCACAATTGCCACTGCTGGAGCGCCAGATAGGTACTTGCAAAACTTTTAGTGGGTTTATCTGAAGATAGTCCTCACTCCTTTAATCATATAGCAATGTTGTTTACATCCTTTTGCTTTTTTGCTTGTGTCTATCAGTGCTTTGAAATTTTGGGACACAAGGAAGCTGAGAGTTCCTTTTGCTCAAGCATCTCCACAGTCAGACCAAACAAACACTAAGGTAAGCTAAGCTGCACATCCCTAGACTCAGATAATATCACATGTTTTCTTCTGAATGGGTTAGTGAATAAGTCACTGAACGATTCAAATTGAAACTAGATTAATCTGAATCCCGGATTTTGTATTTTGTGATTTCAGGAAAAGAGATCACATGGTGTAGTATGCTTGTCCCAGGACTCAAGTGGAACCTTTCTTACAGCATCATGCAAAGACAATAGGTTAGAATTTCAAGATTCACACTCATTAACTTTTCCTAGTGATGGCTCTGCAGTTATGAGAGTCCAGCTCTAACAAAATATGTTATCTCATTTTCAACAATCTGTTGCAGAATCTATCTATACAACACGCTGCAGCTTGACAAAGGACCTTTACAATCTTTCTCTGGCTGCCGAATAGATTCTTTCTTCGTTAGGGTAAGTGCCTTCTTGTTCACAGTTTTCCTGTTCAATCACGAAATTGATTTGCTTTTATAACAATTTTCACCTGCTCACTCACCACTAAACTCTTGCACTGCAGACAATGATTAGTCCTGATGCCGAACATATTTTGAGCGGTTCAAGCGATGGAAACGCTTACATATGGCAGGTTTGAATTCTCTGTCGCTTAGTTTGACATTCTCTAATAAATAAATGATTCAAGACGTATCTATGCTTAAAGAATCACTGAAATTTCAGGTCAACAAGCCTCAAGAAGATCCTACAGTCTTGAAAGGCCATGACTATGAAGTTACCGCAGTAGATTGGTAACTCCACTTCACCTAGCTTCTTCAATCTCCGTTAGATCCAACTTTCCGACAAGTTGATTCGATGATAATAACTGGTAAATCTCTTGTGCAGGTCTCCATCAGAGATTGGGAAGGTAGCTACAGCGTCAGATGATTTCACGGTAACAAGACACTTCAAAATGTTGATAAAAGCAAACGCTTATGTTTTTTTTTTCGCCCTTTACTGACTTTCATGTCTGTTCATAATTCAGGTACGATTGTGGAACATAGAGAACAACCGTTGCTCAAACGCAAACGCACTAGCTTCTGCGTCTAGAGTTAAACGTAGAGTGACCGCATTGTCAGATAGTGAAGCCAAAGAAAGACTGGAGCTGAACAAAGAACCTGAGAGTCCCCAAAAGCATTCATCAGATGATGATGATGATTATACTAATAATCAGTCAATGCCAATCATCAGAACTCCAGAATCTCAGAAGAGGAAAGCATCATCATCATCATTATTGTCATTGTCATCATTATCAACCTCAGACGAAGATAAAACATGCGAGAGATCACCAGAAACGGCGTTCAACAGTCCATCCTCTGTCCTAAACCCTCCTTCCTCCGTCAAAAGGCGAACCATTACAGATTATTTTCTTGTCACTCCCTAATAACCCCTAATCCATTCGTCATTTTTTTGTCAAAAATATTGTACAGATAATTGTAAGATTTATGAAATCCAGGTTATAATTAACAGTTTTGCATAAGGACAAAGTGAATCAGAAGCTATTTATTCAGAGAAATATTTCAGCACTAATCAATAACTATCAGAAGAAAACTTGATTGTATATATAGACGTATATTCTAAGGGAAAAATTTACTCACCTTGTTTGTATGTTCTGCTATTCGAAGTTCTTTTGTTTTGGCTTGGTGATAGGAGACGAACCTAAACGTTTCTCTTAAACACTGTCACAATCTAATGGGCCAAATATGAACTTTGAGAGTAACCCGAATAGGGCCTCTTAGCCAGAGGTATTTATCGCAAACTATTTGGAACCTTTTAGTACAAAGAACAGTAAACGTTTATGGAAGATTTACAAAATCATGCATAACAAAATACAGTTCACTGGATCACCAGTGGCCCAATGCATATATATTATGCAATGCTTAAATTGAAAATATATCAAACTGAAATCTAGATATTAGTTTGAAAGTCAAAATGATTTTTTTTATGAGTTAAATTCAAAATCTAGCCAGCCTTCTGACGTTTTCTGTATTGAAAGACAAACACAATTAATTTACCTGTTATTAACCTTCAAACTGAATTGTTACTTCGGTTTTTTTGTTTTTTTGTTTTTTTTAGTGTAGATCATTGGATCGAGGTAAATAGTGTAAGATCACTCGATAAGACCCAAAGACAAGAATATGTTACATCCTACGGCATGATTCATGCATGCCAAAAAAGATCCAATGTACGGATGACGCGATTCGAAACGGTAAAACAAGCAAATCAAAACAAAAACAGAAGTTTTCTTATCTATTTAACTTATAAACCATTAATTAATACTCAATTAGGCTTATATTCTTCTTAATATTTTTAAACAAAACAAAAAAAAGACGAATGAAAAACTTGATTTGTTAATAAGATTGGACACCACTAAATTGGGTTCGATGTATATATATATATATATATATATATATAATTCAATAAGAAAAGAGGTGCACATTAATAAAATAAAATGTTGATCAAAATAATTGTGCATATCTAATGATTGTTGTGGCCATACTAACACTTGACTTGCAATAATTCCGTCGACATTTTTCCGTATAATACATTTCTTCAACAACCAATCCACGAAGTCCCACCCTATGATTACTAAATCATAAGTACCTTTGGTTTGAGGATTCATACAAATTTGCAACCAAGCTAAAAATAAATAAACAGATTTATTAAAATAAATAAATTTATCACAAGAATATGAGTATAATACGGAATTCCCAAAGGTACTCATGATTAGTAAGTTTTACGTATAATATTCATTTCCTTTCAAAACATGTATTGAAATTTTCAATTTCGAGACTTTCAAAAGCAAGATCAGCTTTTATTTATTTCATTATTCTTATATGATATACAAACATTTAGTAAGTAGTTTTTTCGTATACATAGAACTATATTTCTAAGATTATACGTGCCTATGTTCTTTTCTTGCTTATAAGTAAAAGGAAAAGATAAGGTTAAAATCGAGCAAGAAATTTCGTTGTCCCAATTAATTGTCCAATTGATAAGCAAACGATACCGACTTCTAGTTCTAGGTGCATGCATATATACATAATTTTGTTATATATATCGATTTACAATTTAGCACACACACTTGGTGTCTTCCTTTTTTTGTTGGTCGTCACATTGGCTTTTTTAGGTCGACACATATACGATAATAGGTTAATATATTCTTATCCGACATCACCAGGCCCAAGTTATATCTATGAGTGTGATCCTTGTATACATGCGTGTATTCAAGTGCTTAATTTTTTTGAATCTGAAATAGACTTTTTCTTTCAGTTTCCTATTATTTTCATACTTTCTTGTTGAACATTTGATATATATATATATATATGTGTGTGTATATATATACCTGTATACACTGAAATCTAATCAGAAGATTAAAAATACGTAAAGTATTGCTTGCCAATGATTGATGATTATTTCATCTAATCATTGGTATAATCTACGCACATGCTACCAAATCTTGCACTTACAGAATTTTTTGTACATAATATATATATATATATATATATATATATATATATATAATGAATGCATTGGTGTACCGTCTATATCATTTTCGATTGTTAAAGCACTTGTGTTAAAAAGGACCAAGTAGGCAAGTACCAACTAGCTCTTAGGCTTTAATTTGTTTGGATGATTGAAGGTATCTAGCTCATGATTCATGTAATTTGCCAAATTTCATTTAGGAATATATATATTCCATACTCCAAATACAACCTAACGTACACACATTCTTTAGTGACATTAATTAAAAGATAAACTTCTCAAAATAGTTATCGATAAAATTCTACCAATTTTTTTCTTTAATTTATTTATTTATTTTAAACTAAAATCTTAGAATACAAACAAGTAAATTCAATGGCGTTTATGTAAGAATGTGCGAAAATACTGACTTTTTTTCTTAAAAAACACTGATTTCAAAACAAGTTATATTCAGAAAACTTGTTTTATTGATTCTATTGCAAAATTCAGGTTGGATATAAAGAAGCTATATATGCATAGAAAGTTTTCAGCATGTTGCTCAACTATCAGAGTATGCCAAAATTTTGAATTAACACAACAACTAATTAATTATTTTTTAAAAAAAGTAAGTAATTATATTCAGAAAGATGAACAGAAGAATCAGGAGAGGTTATATGTTAACAGTTAAATTCAATCAAACAAAATGACAGTACACATGTCGGATTTGCTCAGATCCTCAACAGTTCTGATGTCTTTGTAACTTTGTATTTCAAAACCTTCTGAAATTATATTTAAAACTATATATTAAGAAGTGGACCAAAGACTTCACAAACAGTATTATTATTATTTTTTGTTTTTTTACAGAATACCAAACCTTGTGAAAAGGTCAAAGGTAAATAAAACAATAACAGGCCTCTGAAATGAACTTTGAAGAATCTACATTGATGGAAGAGCTATTCAAGTTTTGGTTTCAGGTGATCTTTTAAAGGAAAACAATATTCCGAGAATCGCCGAATTACGTTTTCTCATTTTTTAGATAATACTACTAGCTTACTAATTTAGTTAGTGACTTGCACAGAAAAATATTTTACTTCAAATGTGGTAGAAAATAAGCTACAAAGAAAACTAGTAACTGGAGTAAAATTTTCTTCGATCCGAGTTATTCCTTTTTAGTTCACTATTTTAGGTCCTCAATTAATTGAGGCCAGTTTGTCTTTTTGCATTCTCGTTATATTCATCTTCTTTCTCGCTCACACCACCAAAATGCCTTTTGCCTCTCTCTCTCTCTCTCTCTCTCTCTCTCTCTCTCTCTCTCTCTCTCTCTCTCTCTCTCTCTCTCTCTCTCTCTCTCTCTCTCTCTCTCTCTCTCTCTAACTTTCCCCTTTGAGTCTCTTTGTCTCCAACTAGGGTTTCCTCTCTAAATACAACAAAAAATCCCTATAATTGAAAATCTTCTTGAGGATTTTTCATCTCCCCTTCTTGTAGTTAAGATACAAAATAGAGAGACAAAGAAGATCAGACCATTCTGAGTAGATATCAAGGGGCACTTTCTCTTGTTCCTCCATTAAAAGGTAAGACCAAAAGTATTTAATTCTACTCAGCAATTCACGCACACACACTCTTGCATAATATATATATATACAGATTATACTTTTATGCTGATTGGTTATATATGATATTAGAGATTTAGATCATGAAGATTTGATCACGGATCTTGAACTTCCAAGTTATAATTGGCAAGGTACAACTGAACATGTAATCCAGTCTTCATGATTCTAATATATATTGAAGTTATCATACTGAAACACAAACCCTTAAAGTATATAACGAAGCTATTTAATTAGGTCATAGATTTAAGAAATTAGACCAATATATGTTATGTTTCAAAAAAAAAAAAAAAACCAATATATGTTGTATAGATGTGGAGAACTCAGAAGAGTCAGGGAGACAGAGAGTGCTATGAGAGTAAAACCACGAAAAGCTGCTAAACTAAACGCCAAGAACAAAAATGTATGGTCAAGAGTATTTGATATATATGTTCGAATTAAAAGAAATTCAGTAATCAACAATTTTCAAGAAAAAAAGTTGAACTTTGCATTGTTTTCTTTACGAATTTTGGTGGCACACAAGTACTGATATCTATAACAAATGACATGCTGTTCACATAAAAAAACTCTAGGTCTAGTGTTTAATGCATGTACATATATATATATACTACCTTTCTTTGAAATTCTTATGTGAAATTTCATTTGAATTAGTGTCTAATGTAGAACAAACTGTTTTCTTATTTTGAAAAGTACATGATCTCGATCAGACTTAACCTACCAACACTCTACAACGTAAAACCAGTCGAAGTTACCGGCAATTCGAATTTAATATATATTGCAAATTATAATATGGTCAAGACTCAAGAGTGTTTGATGTAGCTACATAACTAATTATATATAACTTTTCACAATCGGATTGTGTTAGATTACACCAATATACTCTCCGTTTCCAACGATGTTCCGAAAATTATTGCCGTTTGTATTTTTGTTTACAGCATACGTAAGAGTAATGAATTTTATGGATAAAAAGATTTGATTTTCTTGTTCATGCAAAGAAAATCACACGTCTTGTTACCAGTTATATATTGATGATGAGGCAATTACTACCAGCTAACACAAAATGGAAAACAAAATATCGAAAAATGTGTCAGTTTTTATAATGTGCACTTAGACGCATATGCATAGTCGCATAGACATAGTTTGTAATAGATATTGATGCATATGAGCTTTTAGAGAATTACAACATCACTCATGTAATTTCGGAGAACTCCTAAAAATATATGTATATGTAATTATATCGTGTTTTTTTTTTTTTGTTTCCTTTCATCTTCACAACTAAAAAACCAGGGGATATACAACCGGAAATGTCATCATCGTATTCGAACTACACAAACTCACCGTGCGCGGCATGCAAATTCCTCCGGCGAAGATGCACATCAGACTGCGTGTTCGCGCCATATTTTCCACCGGAGGAACCTACAAAGTTTGCGAACGTCCACCGGATATTCGGGGCAAGCAACGTCAGCAAGATCCTCCACGAGGTGGCCCCGCATCAACGGGAAGACGCGGTGAACTCGCTGGCTTACGAGGCCGAGGCACGGCTAAAAGATCCAGTGTATGGCTGCGTTGGGGCCATCTCGGTGCTCCAAAGACAGGTCTTGAAGCTACAAAGGGAACTAGAGGAGACAAATGCAGATCTCATGAGGTACGCTAGTTGTCTTGGCGGTGAAACGACGTCGGCTTATGGAGGACGGAGAGGTTGACTGGTCAACGGGAGCTGATTAGTCGTCATCCCTCTTTGAGAGAATTAGCGGCGGAGAAGTATGAAGAGAGAGAGTGAGTGTGAATGGTTGATGTGGTGGAAGTGATGAGGATATCTTCGTATGTTTGTTTTATGTATATACGTATGCGTATATGTAATTTTAATTGTATTTTTTTCTGTCACATGGGAGCTCAAAGGATATTTTGAATATGTTGAATAAGGAAATAAGTGATTGATGTAGTGTATGTGGTTGTGTTAGGTGATTAATTATAACTTTCAAGTGAGGACACTATAAGAGTCCCGGAGGGTAGTATAAAACATGGACAAACACACAGAAATGCTATACAAATTAAGAAAATATCATTACATCATTGGGCAAATGAAACTTACATTTCAATCATTTGTTAAAATTACACACACATAAACTCAATCATGAAGCAATATTGATAATGAATTATGGCATTCAAAAAGCATAAAACTTCATGTCGACAGTTTTTGAAATAACTCATACGGAAGTAGGCTAATAATTGGTTGTTTGATCACACACACTAGTCACTCTGGTCAGAAACATCATTTTGCTAATATTCTAAGTTAGTCGACTGAATTTATATACTTTGTCAACTTGAGGAAAAGTTTATATAATTAATCAAGTGCTGAAAAAACATAAATTTTCTTACCTTTATATTAAGCACATGTCTTCATAGGGAATCTCTTTTTAGAGTCGGTCCAGTTTTATTTCATGGTATTTGGCGGCGACCTAACAACCAAATATATTCACATACAAATCAACTCATCACAAACCCACTCTTACTAATTCTCCTTTTTCGATAATTAAGATTGATCATATTCATGTAATATAAAATACTATATAGTTTTGACTATACTGAAAAATAAAATGACATAAACTGATGATATACATACATATGCTACATATATGTATATTTCTCTGACTTCCATGGGAGGATTTACATGTCGACTTCAAGACACGGGGGATTCAAGATTGTGTTCAGACATGAGTCAGTTTCAGAAACAGTAACTAAAAGGCACATTTTCTACTAGCATTTCATTTTAACCTTTATTTTATTTTATTATAGCATCTTATTTTCATTACACTATCACTGTCTACTGCAGCAATATGATTGTTTTGCCATGTGATATATCAACTCATATTGTACACATCTTTAGACTTTCCCTCAATTATTCCCTCCATTTCCTTCAATTCTCTCAAACTTTTTTCTTTATTGCCATAATTACAAAATGATAACAAATCCTTTACATTTTGAAAAAAAAAAATCCGTATCTTATGAAATTTCAAAGGAAAAAATACTAATCTATAATTATTTTTGTCACGGGTTTGAGCTTGACACCTTTTTTTTCCTTACAATTTAACTTTTCTACATTCAAAAACTGGACTTGGTGACCATATTAAACTCCAGCGAAACTGTTGTACTAATGTCCCTGTCCAAAGAAAACCTACTGTTTTAGTACTTGCGATCTGAGCCATAGACCTAACTTTCTACAGGTTAAATCCAAGATTGAAATCAATCTCATCGCAAAAAAAGGTGAAGAACACACAAGAAAACCCGTAAATGGGCCATATATGGGCCCTATTTGTGGACCAAGGGAAAGTGAGAGAGGAGTTTGTCATCTCGTTATCAAGTTAGCAGTGGACCACCACTAAACCGCCCAATAGCTTACAAAGGTCCAATAACAGAAACAAATGGAAAAGCCTTGTTCCGTGGACGACGTCGTTTTCCCTGTTGAAATTGATTGATTCTATTGTATCTTTTTTCTTTGATTAGACCTCTGAAAGAAAAAGGGTACTACTAACTAAAGCCACTGGGCCACCAAAGTGTGTGCTCGTGTTACAAAAGTTAATCATATATAGACAGCGTCGACTATATAATGTATATACAATATGTGTGACATAATTGCTATTTGCCAACTTTTTTGTTTTTTTTAGAACCGGATGTATGATTTTTTGAAGAAAACAAAAAATAAATTAAAAAGGAAAGATGGTTTTGGGCCAAAATCATGGCCGGGCTGAATTTAAACCCATATTAAACATCACTAATTTTGGCACACAATGACACAAGTGCATCTGGATGCATCGAGGGGAGAACAATTGTAATTGTAAACCGAATGTATATTGTTTGTTTCTATTCGAATACGGTGGGAGAGAAGAAGGAAAAGATGATGATCAGGTAATGAATGAAACTTGGAAATCATGCAAAGCCACACCTCTCCCTTCACCACATTCTTACGTGTCCTCTTCTCTTCACTCCAAATCTCCTTTTTACTACAAATCTAAATCTTTCAGTCCCCTTTATATGTATGCATGTTCTGTTATTACAACAACATAAGTATCCCTTATACCCTTTCTGTGTTGTCTTTGTTTCTGTTTATAGACTCTTTGCTCTTCAACTAGATCATCAATCGGTATGGCTGCGACCGTGGACAGGCGTATGCATGCCGACCAAGGTGACAAACGTATTCATCTACAGCCGAGCTATACGGATGATGTCGGTTATGGTTATGGTTATGGTTATGGTGCTGATTACAAGAGTAGCGGCCCCTCCAGTAACCAGGTTTTCTTTTTCTTTTTGTGCTCTTCTCTTTACTTTTATTTTTCATTTTTTTGGGGTTTTGTTTCGTATACTGATCACTGATCCAAAACAATTTATAATATTCCGCAATGTGTTAAAAAAAAACGTTAATATATTGACTTAATATATATGTGAAGAACTTGAGATCAGTTACTTTAATTAGTCCATATTATTTTTTTTTATCTTAGGATTTCTTATAGTTATGCATGCATGTACATACGATCATATCCAGATGGTGGTATTGGTTGGATTTAAAACAATTTGAGTTTTTGACAATATTGGTCACAACAATATATAAAAAAGTATGTAAACTCACTAATAAAGTCGATATGATCGAGATACATGCAGGTCGTGGCACTTATAGCAGGAGTCCCCATTGGTGGCTCACTGCTAGCCCTCGCTGGGATCACCCTGGCCGGCTCGGTGATAGGTTTGTTGCTCTCCATTCCTCTCTTCCTCCTCTTCAGCCCGGTGATCGTCCCAGCAGCTATAACCATTGGGCTTGCTGTTACCGGAATCTTGGCCTCTGGGTTGTTTGGGCTGACGGGTCTAAGCTCGGTGTCATGGGTCCTAAACTACATCCGTGGGACGAGTGAGTCTGTCCCGGAACAATTGGACTATGCTAAACGGCGTGTGGCTGACGCGGTAGGCTACGCTGGTCAGAAGGGAAAAGAGGCGGGCCAGTATGTGCAAGATAGGGCCCATGAAGCCCATGATACCAGTCTGACCGCTGAGGTGAATGTCACTGAGCCGGGTCAGCAGCAGGGTGGTAAGGCAAGGAGGGCGCACATTTCATAAATTTGTGGGCTTCTGTTGGAAAGGCAATAATGTAATTTTACTCTTTATGTCCCCGTTTCTTCCTTCTAGACTATATTTTGTCAATATGTTGTGTACGTTCCCTTTTCTCGTGTTCAAATAAAAACACCACCCTGTGAGTGAAATAAGAAGCGAAATAAAACTTTTTTTCTTTTTTCGAGATAACTAGAATTTTGATTACTCTTTGGTGTTTATTTTAAAACAACGTTTAAAGTGTGTTAAAAAAACTAATAATGAAAGTCCACACTCCATAGATAGATAGAGAGAACTCAAACTTCTAGCATCGATTTACATAAGTTGGGGGTTTAATCTTGTTATTGGTAAAAGTCAGGGCTTATTTACTCATTTTCCTTTAGTTTTAATATCATCATCAGCTTATTGGGCTCGAATTGGGACGGCCCATTGTCTAGCGCCGGCAGGTCGTACTTCCCCTTCCCGGAGCTAAAAACTCCACAGCCCTCCGCTCATACCTCCGAAGTAGCCGTTGCTTTTACTCTCTCTCTCTGTCTATTCTGGTCAAAGTGATGGCCTCGTATGCTACGTTACTGGAGAAAACTCGCGTCCCTCAACCTTCCATACAGAGATTCGCTGTGATTTCCGTTTTCTCCAAGTTACGATCTGCTCCACAACGATTGGGTTCGGAATCCGAAGCCGGAAGAGAAGCTATCTCCTTCTGCCTCACCTCCGCATCTGCCACTGTCGTTGATCAATCCGTTCGTGAGCTATGTCGATTAGTATCAGACTCCGTTCTCGACCCCTCCCGCGGGTTGCTGGAACTTCAAGCTGCTCTCGAAGGGTGCGACTCGAAATTGGTTCCCCTATTTGTGAAGGGTTTAGGGTTTTTGATTCGAATCGGGTACGAACAGAGAGATGGGAATTGGAAGTTCAATTCGACGGAGAATCATCCGTTTGTCAGGGTATGTGATCCATGGATGCGTGATAAGTTAGTCGAAATTAGCAAGCCTTTGAGATGCTTTCTCCTTGTTGTTGGTTGCAGATTCTTTCTAGCCGAGCGGAGACACAGACGGAGCTTCTTCACCAAGTATCACTCTTTGTGATGCATAATCGGCGATTGGGGATTGTAAGAGTATGTGAGTTTCTGGAGCCGTTCCTGAATTTCACAATTCTACGTATCCCACTTGCAGATTCATCGCCGTCTCTGTTTGCGAGGGAATTGATGTCATCAATGGCTTCCCTTTGTTGTTCATGCCGCCACGAAGCACTGCCACTATTCAGATTACTTATGCGCTGCCTACAATATATCCCAGGCAAAAATTCGGAAGTAAGTATTCATCGTAGACAGTCAGTTTGGTGAATGCACATAATCAGCTGCAATTTTTAGGACCCAGTTCTAAGTTTCTGAAACTATACAGGACAAGAGAAATTTCAGCTGCATTGTAAAGACTCTGGTGGATGCCTACACTGTGGTTGTGAGAGACTTGGCTGGAACTAAATTGGTATGTGCTAATTGCCTCATGCCTTCATCTTAATCTTTGTGCTCATTGTCCGACATTCATTAGTTTATCTATACTATCAGGAAGTAATAGACGTTCATCTGCTCGGTGTGCAACTGGTAGATACCGTACTTTTGCTTTGTGCCTCTCCTCATATCCAAATCACCGAACAAGAGCCTGTGATCGAATCGTTGAGGCACTTGTTAGCTATTCAGAAAGACCTTGGATTACCATATTCACGTGATTTATCCTTGGTGGTTCTCTCTCTCATTTTCATGCTTGCCAAGTCCAGCGTCGAGCATGAGCAACTATCTATTTTAAAGTTTCTGCTTTTTCTGCTCAAATGGAAATGTGAAAATGGTATATCCGTGTCTCCATCTTTCTTGTCATTAAGCTCTTACTCGTTTCATTGCCTAATAGTCTAATAGTGTTAGTAGCTAATTTACTGCAATCAACTTGGTCAGTCCTGCTATAGTATGAGTCCCCGTTTCCTTTATATTTTGTCAAAGAAAAGTGATGTGTTCGTTTTCTGTTGACGCAGAATTGATACTTTTCAATTATTTTGTAGAAAACTTGTTGGTTGGAGATGCAGCCTGTTCAAGTGTGGAGCCTTTATTATTGTTCCCTATCATCGCTCTGATGTCTTCTCCTTCTAAATCAGTCAAGGGAGCAGCAAGTAAGGTTCTTTCTATCGTAGAAAATGCCTTGGTAACAATGTCAAATGCACCTAAGGTTGAGAGCCAGACAAGTATGGGAAATTCATCACTCAGCAGGGTGGGCTCTCTCGTATCAAGGATCATGCAGCAACTCTGGCATCAGGTATATTTCCTGAGAAACCTGCTATTTTTATTTTTGAAATCTGTCTATAATATGTTACATAGATTCACTCATAGGTTAGGTTATTTTAAATGGATACTCCTTCGAGGGTTGGTGAGAGATTAGCATGTTTATTTTGTTTTATATCCATATCAAAGTATTGCACAAACGAAACTCAGAATCAAATTTCCCACTGAGTCTCTGAATGTTCCTTTTCAGAATGACTACACACCTTCCACGTCCTCCTTCCTCAGAGTGGCTTACATCAATGGAAGTGAACCACAGAAAACTTATCCTGGACCAACGACTTGGAATTGTCTACTTAGGGAACATGCTGAACGGTTTTGTGATAGAAAAAAGCTATCTGCATCGTTTCGTATTTCACAAGAGATACCTATTCTACTTGGTGCTGTTGCTGGTGTCTTGGTGTTGCATCCATCCCTAGGACCTGATGCAATTGATTCTTTGGCTGATATTGGTCGCATTGATCCTAAGATGAGTGTCCCGCTGTTGCTAGTTGTTCTATATTACAGCAACTTGTTATCTCGAACTGATGTCCCTTGTCAGAGTCTATTGGTGAGACTACTCTGATTCATTTTCTGTTAATTCCTGTATTTTCAAATCCAAGTGCTTGTTTCTTCTATTATTTTTTCTTTTTTTACTTTGGTCTAGTTCTCATTTTCTTTCTTTGACTTGCAGTCAAAACTTCTGAGGTTGCTCCCATCACTAGCTGCACAACAGGTGATGATTCCACTTGTAGTTCAGACGATCACACCAATGCTAGACAAGGATGCGAAAGGGTCAGTGCACCTTTTTCTGATCATTTCGTGTGTCATGTGTTTTTTAATCGTGTTATAATAGTTGATTCTGGGTTGATACCCTTACTTGGTGCTTTTAAAAGTCGATTCTCACCTTTGCTCTTTGGTAAACGGGTAGCCTTCGTAAACAGCTATCGATGGTTCCTTTAACTTTTCGACATATGATAGATATTATAAAATTTGGATTTGAAAGTTAAGAGATTAATATGTGATGTTTAATGTGTTTGCCTGCATTTAGCAATCTTGTTGAATCGGGTTACTGTACTAGACCTTGTTTTGTCTCTGTAATGCCATTTAGTGGAGTTGACATGAGTAGCTCTGATGATGGTTTATTTTAGTCTGTTGTATGCTACAGCCATTAGATTACTTTGCCACACCTGGGAAGTCAATGACCGTGCTTTTCCGAGCTTGCAAGTAAGTTATTCTATACCACTATGATGTTTTTCTCGGCATTGATGAAATCAGCTTGGGCATTTTTGTACTATTTTCGTGTATTTCTGTGGTACTAATTATCTTAATTACACAGGAGGTATTACGCCCGAAAGGATTTATAGACTTTATTTCAGAGAGACATATCTGCATTAGTATGGCTGTTTCCATTCACGATGTATGCAAGAGACATGCTGATAGGGGAGTAGACCTAATCTTGTCAGTTCAGGTATAGTTTCCCAAGTGATGTTTGCTATAGGCTGTATATTGAAACTTATGGAGTGCCTTTAATTTTTCTACTGGATTCCTACTTTAATAGGCCTGTATAGAAAGCCAAGACTGTTCAGTTCGAGCACTTGGTTTTCAGAGTCTTTCCCATCTGTGTGAAGCTGATGTCATTGGTACTCTCTTGATGCTTGCTTGTGTTAGTTACTTCCTTTGTATTTCCCTCATAACTTTTGCTTTTTCCATCCAGATTTCTATACTGCATGGGGTGTCATTGAGAAACATGCTCAAAACATTAAACTGGATCCTCTCCTTGCATATAGGTTAGCAGCGCTCATATCCCAAATGATCTTTACAGGCGCGATTTGGGTGTTCAAAGTGGTGCATGGATCTTTTAGCTATTGTTATTTGATGTGTCTGAAAAAATATATGACGTATAACTAGCACTGTTTTGATGAATATCTTGCAGTGCATGCCTTCTTCTAAAGTGGGGTGCAATGGATGCCGAAGCATATCCTGAACTAGCAGAAAAGGTTCTGAACATTTTGTGGGAAATTGGGAGTTCTATGCAGATACCTCGTGATTCCCAATGGACAAAGGCAAGAGTCGCTGCCTTAATGGCCCTTGGTCAATATGAGGTATGTATTGAATTTTATGGGTCTTGTACGTCTTCTTTTAGGTGTGTTCCAGGCCATCTTTGGTTTCCTTTGGTTCTAAACTCCTAATATCAAATATTGTTATCTAATTCTGATCCATTTTTTCCAGGTATCATTTTTGGAAAAGCAAATTTCTGACTTCAACAAGAATTGTGCATATTTGCTATTCTCGGAGACCAATACAAAAATTCTGAATGCTTTAGAAGACCTTTCAATCAAAATCATGATCCACGAGCACAGGTATAGAACTTGTAATCTACTGAACTTTAGTGGTTTAGATCCTCATTAGCAGCATATAAAAAACTGCTTCTTTTTCTCTCAGCGTCCGGCGTAGATATGTAAGAGAGAAGAAAGTTCCTGGTAGTAAGATTGAGAAGCTGCTGGATGTGATTCCTCAGGTCATTTTCCCTGCAGGTGTAGTTGATTTTTCTGCTAAAACAGTTCTTAAATTGTTAGCACAATTAGTGAGAAATGCAAGTGTGTCTGTTGGAATAGATAAATAAAACCTTGAGATGGGAGGGAGGCGTGCCTATAAATTTTTGCGTGATAACTAACTTAACTTGTATATAATTGTCAGTTCTTATTGTGCTTCGTAAGATGTAGTTCTTACAAGATAATGTCAATTTGAAGTTGCATCAATAAACAACGGGAAGCATGTTTGTAGTGAACCTTCATTTGCCGTGTTAAGATTGTCGAATACTCAGTTCTTTTCTTCATTTTCGCTAAATATTTCTAAGAATATGTAAATTTCTTGGTAGCACGCATGAACTAAGTACAGCATCATTTGACTCACAGAGAAAAGAATTAAGACTGGAGAACTACCTGGTGCAGCATTATTATGCCTATCTTTTAGTCCCAAAGATGTGAAGTTTGGGTCATCAAGAGTAAGAACATTTTTATTTTCAGCGAGAAGGTTTTTTTATACTTCAGCGCACTGAGTTGCATACTTTTTATTGCAGAGCTTTCGTGATATACATGGTCAATACGAGGAGGCATTTAAAGTAGTAGTCAAATCTCTCCACCTCTCAAGAAATATTTCCCTTGCACTTATTTCATTGCAATCCCTGAAGGCTTTTATGTGGCGTTGGATGAGAGCTAATATGTTGTCCATTGATGCCACGGCTACAGAATTCTCATCTGATAAAACTTTTAAAGCCGCAAACAGCATCATGAAGGTTTGAGATAGTGTCTTTCTGTAGCAACTAGCAGCTTAGTTCAAACCTTTCATTTTAAGTGTTCAAACTTCTTTTGAGATGCTTTTGTGTTATTTCATGTAGAGTTTGGTATACATATCTGAAGAAACTCTTCCTAGGTCTGCAGAAAACATAGCACTGGCGCTGGGTGCACTATGTGTTGTAAGATTTCATATAAATTTGCTTCCATATATGTAGTGGCCAAGTGTCTCGATACAGAAGTCTTAGTCTGTTTGTTGTTTCAGGTTTTGCCAGCTGCTGCTCATAAAATTAAAGCGACTGCATCAAAATTTATGTTGGCTTGGCTATTGGAGCATGAGCATGAACACCGTCAGTGGACGGCTGGTATATCTCTTGGATTGATTTCTTCGTCTCTACATGTGACTGACCACAAGCAGAAACTTCAGAATATATCTGGACTTTTTGAGGTACTTTCTACACCTGGGATTTATTTGCGCCACATACCATATCGGTCCATATAACTTGTGAAAATTCCTATAGAGCAACTCTCTTATTAAAGCCCCTACTTGGTAGTATGCTAAATCAGTCTTGGTCTTTCGCACTCCTTGCATGATTTTTTTTTTGTTTCACTTTGACATGCAGCTAAAACACTATCTATCATGTATCTTATTGGCTTGAAAATTATTTTCAGGTTTTGTGTAGCAGTAAAAGCACTCTTGTAAAAGGAGCCTGTGGGGTTGGATTGGGTTTTTCATGCCAAGATCTGCTCACACGGACTGAAGCCTCTGCGAGCTCTGATATAGACAGTGAGTCCCACAAGAACCAAGAAGAAGGGCTCTTGGGAAGGATAGTGAGGTTGATATCTTCAATATTACAATATTTCCTGCACACTCCGTGTGAAATCCTAGAAAGCTTGTCTGCGCTGTTCCCACCTGGAAAGGAAGACAACGTTGCAGGTTTACCTCAGCTGTTGGATGAGAACTCTGATGATTTTGATGATGATACATGGGGTATTGCTGGACTCATTATAGGTCTGGGGATGTCAGTTGGTGCAATATACAGAGCTGGGAAGAAAGACGCTGTTGTAAAGATTAAAAACCTTATCGTATCATGGATCCCATATGCAGATTCTCCTATGCAAACTCCAGGCTCTAATAGTAACGTATCAGTGAGAGTTTTTTCAGCCGGTTCCTGTCTTGCACTCCCAATTGTGGTCACTTTCTGCCAAAAAGTGGAACTGTTTGATGCACATGAGGTGGATCATCTAATCAATTGTTTCAAGGACCTTATTTCTGAGTTGCTAATTGTTAAAAATTCTGGTGCTTTTCATAAGAGTTTGTTGATGGCTTCCTGTATTGGGGCTGGAGACCTCCTTGGATCTATTCTGAATGAAGGTATCCACCTTGTGGAGGTTGAGTCTGTAAAAGGCTTACTAGAATTGTTTAAGACATGTTACTCTCTACTTTACCCACCGGTTGTTCACTTTGGTGGCATGCTCGGAGTTGTTAACGTTTTAGGAGCAGGTGCTGGAAATTTGGTGTGTTCCCATCCTCTACCTCGTGCCCCTTCAAGTTCTGAGGAAAACGTAAGTTCTCTGGTCTATCTTTCTCAAAATCATTGCTCGGTTATTCGCCAAATGTGATAGGATTCCTAACATCCATTTATATTGCTACAGAAAATCTCTTCTGTATCAGGTCCTTTGCTTTCAAATTCATATTTAACTCAGCAGTTGACGCCACTTGTGCAAGAAATATTCCTTATCGCACAAAATACTAAGGATCGACAAGTGCAACATTATGCTGCATGGGCCATCTCAGTACTTAGGAATTACATGCGATCCAGGGATGTGTCAAGTCTAGACAATGAAATCCAATCTGACGACTCTCACCGTAATTCCGTCTCTCACAATGTTCCCGAGCATGCCATGGTCATGAAACTTGCTCAAGGCCTAAAAAATCCAAGTTTGTTTTCGGTATGTCTGCTTAAACGCTTTCTGATAGTTCTAACCTTCTCTAATCCTTGATAGCTGGAACATAAAAAGAAACTTAAAATTGTTCAATTTTAGGCCCCATTAATTATTTGCAACAGTCAAGTAAAAGATATACTAGTTCAGGATAGAGATCTCAATCTGTTCTCATACTTACTAATCTTTGTTCTAATTTAGGCAGGTAACTCTCTAAATATTGGCACAATGGCAAGTGCTTTGCGGTGTTTGTCTCACTCTCCGAGATTGCCAAACTTGGACTGGGGAGCAACAATAAGGCGGTTAATGAAACAAGAGACTCAGAGTGATGCATCACAATCAGAAGATCTTCCCAAGGAAAGAACTCTTAGGGAAGAGTGCTTGAAATTTTCATTAGCCCACGCAAGCGAATTTGATGAACTTCTAGTTTTTTTGGACGAGTTGTCTGAACTATCCAGATTCAAGGCACTAGAACAGAGTCTCCAATCATGCCTGCTCTGTCATCTAGGGGATTTGATGAGAATGTTCTCAGGTTCAAGAATTGATAAATTGTTTGATGATATCTCTTGCTTCGTAATCTCGCTATCTTCAGACCAAGCATATAGCTGCGATCAGAAAACTTCGTTGAGGGTCTCTTGTTGGAAGGGACTGAGCCAGTGTCTCGAAGGAACTTCGTTTGAATCTTCAGAATACATCACAAAGATTGAAAAATGCATAGAGTTGCTCTTTGCGGTCTTACCAGTAGCATCACAATCTCCGAAAGCAGATGAGATGGGTTCGGTGAAAGAGTGGTCGGAGGCAGTTAGGTGTTTGCAGATGTCGCATCGGGATTGGTTATACAAATTTCTACAGGTATGTGTAATAGCTGCTCCATGCATCGGCCTGTTAAGTATGTATCATCCTTCTGGACATCTCAATTTAACTGAGATTTTTCTTGCATGCAGGTTTCGAGTCTTGAACCTGAAAACGGAAAGACTGACTTCCAAGGTAATCTAAAGAAGATCCAGGCAAAAGCCAAGCTAGCAAGACTTGGCTCAATTCCATTTTCCGAGTTAGGAAAATTGAAGGCTATTATATTAAACTGTGAACAGTCAGGTCAGTTTATATCCTCAATTGCTATATGCGAGCTAGATACAATCAAAGATCATGATACAGAAGTTTTTTTCCGTCTTTGTCAGATATTTGGGATGTGCACATTGATATAGTAGCGGCTCTGTATCACGCCGAAGGAGGAATCAAAAGACAATGGCTCATTGATGCTGTTGAAATCAGCTGCGTTTCTAGCTATCCATCCAATGTAAGACACATCAGTGTTAAGATCTCCTTCATCTAAAGAGATTATCTTTTTCTTTTTGTTGAAATTGGTTTTACTCCTTCTACAGGCTATTATCTTTGTTGGTCTTCTCTCTAGTATCTGCTGCGAATACATGCCGTTTCTCACTTTAGACCGATCCATGGTTTTGAGCGATATGTCTGTCACCGTAACTTCTCTCCTGTCTGATCACAACTGGGAAGTTGTTGCAGAGCCTTTCATCTCGTTTCTATGGACATCGTTGGAGCGTGTTTACAGTTTTGCAACTGACTCAGACGCTAATGCAAGGCTAAGTAGTTCACAGCAAATTGATGGAAGCGAAAGAGATTATGCGCCAATGCTTGTGAAGGTGATGCATCACATTTGTGTAGCCTTCAGAGACTATTTACCTCTTGAGAAGCAGCTTACGCTTGCTGCTATGGTCATTTCTTGATTCCTTTAAAAAAAATATTGTATAGTTTTTATATTTAGGAGACTGGTGTGATTTCGAAGGGAACTTTCATGGCCCTACTGTTGTATTTGTTAGAGATAATATATTACAGTGAATAGTAATGGGTTCATAATATGTAGATTTTGGTTTTGGTCCAAAGCTTCATACATTTAATATGGGAAATACGTAACCGGTTTTGTCTTCATGTTGTTACGAATTCACTGAAGCTTGTTTGAATGATCTCTCACCCACACTACTTTAACCGGTTAAAAGCCGGTTTTCTTACTCTCGTTAAAGTTGTGGTGGAAATTCTCTCTGTCTTGGTTTGTAATTTATGTTTCTTTTTTTTAATTATCTCACTTGTGGTCAGTCCTGCTTGTGGTGTAAAAATCTTCTTCTTATCATCGCAATCGTAAGCATAGCCAATAGGCAATAAGAGAAGCGCCACGAGTGTGTTTGGAGCTTGGAACACTATATCCTCTTGGCACAAGATCTTCTACTCACACGTGGCACAACTATAGCCAATACCTTTCTCCTACACCACGTGAATCGAGTATGTGGAAATCTAAAACCAACCAATCAGAACTCGCTTACTTGTCCATCGGCTAATCTTTCTCAAAATGAACACATTTGGGGATATCTATTATAAAATCGAAAATGCTAACCCCAACAACAACATCTCATCTCACTTATTCCTCTTCCTTTGTGTTTTTGTTTGGAGTAAACAATGGCCACTTCAGCGATTCAACACTCCTCTTTCGCCGGCCAAACGGCCCTCAAGCCCTCCAACGACCTCCTCCGCAAAGTCGGAGCTTCCAACGGTGGTGGCCGCGTCGTCATGCGCCGTACCGTCAAGTCTACTCCTCAGAGCATCTGGTTCGTACAGAAATCTCTTTCAACAGCTTTAAAGTGGATCACTGAATCACTTTTAACCACATAAAAACTCTGTTATTTCAGTTTGGTTGACGATTAGATTATACCGGTTTATTCGGATTAAACGAGCCATCCGTGTTTGTTTCTTCAGTTTCGATTTAAGCACATCACCAAAACATGTAATTAACCAACAAATTGTGACAGGTACGGACCAGACCGTCCCAAGTACTTAGGACCATTCTCGGAGAACACACCATCGTACCTAACCGGAGAATACCCAGGAGACTACGGCTGGGACACCGCCGGTCTCTCCGCCGACCCAGAAACCTTTGCCAAGAACCGTGAGCTCGAAGTCATCCACAGTAGATGGGCAATGCTTGGCGCTTTAGGCTGCACCTTCCCAGAGATTCTCTCCAAAAACGGAGTCAAGTTCGGTGAAGCCGTGTGGTTCAAGGCAGGATCTCAGATCTTCTCAGAAGGAGGACTTGATTACCTTGGAAACCCTAACTTGATCCACGCGCAAAGCATTTTAGCTATATGGGCTTCTCAAGTTGTGCTCATGGGCTTAATTGAAGGGTACAGAATTGGAGGTGGGCCTCTTGGCGAAGGGCTTGACCCGCTTTACCCGGGTGGGGCGTTTGACCCATTGAACTTAGCGGAGGATCCAGAGGCGTTTTCGGAATTGAAGGTAAAGGAGCTCAAGAACGGTCGTCTTGCGATGTTCTCAATGTTTGGATTCTTTGTTCAAGCCATTGTTACTGGTAAAGGTCCCATCGAGAATCTGTTCGATCATCTTGCGGACCCTGTGGCTAACAATGCCTGGTCTTACGCCACCAACTTCGTCCCCGGAAAATAGACAAACTTATGTATTTTTTTATCTTTAATGCATTGAAACAATGAAATATTAGTCCGTCGGTTCAAGTTCTGGCTTGGTGAAAGAAATTCTCATTTGCTTCTTTTAGGCTCGTCTTGTGTCATTTTGATCTAGAAATTTGTGAACAGCTAACAACGTGTCACAATCAAATTCATCGAATTTCAATCATAATGTTCTACAATTGTTCTTTAATAAATGTTACAAACAATATATATTACGACTCCGATCAAACATCGCATTTCCAACTGCGTGCCGTTTCTAGATTCCACATCATTTTTCGTCTCGACTAAAGCAAGTGTCTAAGCCAACAAATGTATATACATCAGAAGTAGAAAACTGTTGTTAATTGTTATAGATGCTAATAACTGAAAGACAGGGATTTGCTGATACAAAGACCCAACCACTGTCCTTGGAAGGCCAAATGTAACAATACACTTTTTTTTGTTCTCTTTTTTCTTTTTTTTCACATCCTACTATCCAAAAAAGACTTTAGATATATAATATATCTTTTGCTACCAACAAATATTAACGTCTCACGCATTGGCTAAAAAGCCTAAAACGGAGAAAAGATCACTAATGCCAGATCCAACAACAACAAAAAAGATATGTTTCTGAGACAAAAGATTACCTCACTGACAAATCCTTCTTCCCCAACTTAATCAAATATCTGTTCCAACTTCCAACGGTTCTTCATCAGTTCCTGACGCCGCAATCGCTTCAGAAGCTCCTTCCATGGACTCGCTGTTACTTTTATCGTTGCCACTGTCGCTTTCTTTGGTCTCTCCTTCATCTAAAGTATTGCCGTCTCTAGAGACAATTTTGTTCTCCGCTTCTTCCGTAGAAGAGGCTTTGACTTCATCTGCTGGTTTTGGGTCATTAGAAACAGAAGAAGTAGGCTTGTTTTTGCTGCTAAGTTGGTCACGTGAAACAGAGAGATTAGCATTATTTTTGCTACTATTATTCTCTCTGTTGCTTTGACGTGTTACCCACACGAGCTGCAACATGTGTTCTTGCCAGCACTTTGCGTTAGCAAACGCTTTCTCGGCTGCGCTGCGTTTCACAAATGTCACACAAGCTGCACGGTTTTCGTTATATGTTTCATCCTTATCCTTGCCACTATCAGTCGATGCATTGTCTTCGAGTTCCACTTTTGAGACTTCCCCATAAGAAGAAAAATGTTCTTTCAATACAGCAACCTGCAAGTAGAAAATAGTTCAAACCATCAGTAAAGTGAGTCCATAACCTAATAATCTCCGTAGAATCTAATTTGGAAAATGAGAAAGTTTTGCACATTCATAAACAAAGAAAGGAGACGTACATCGGCTAACCCGGTTGGCAAAGGAGGAACCACTTTGAAGGTAGTGGTGCGGTTGTCCAACTTATACCTATTTACCATAGGTGTGATCAAACTTGTGGTAAATGAATAAGGTCTTTGCTTCAAGTGTTTTGAATCAGGCGATGGCGTTTCCGTGCTTAGTTTAGCAGTAGAAAGTGGTTTCTGGACAGGCACTTTCTTATCTGTCGATGACTCTATTTTTGGTGTTGAGATTACGGCACCGGAATTAGAGGCTGTGTCTACTTTAACGCGCTTAGCATCTGGCTCATCTGCTTCCTCGCCCTTGACAACTGTACCCTGAGAAGATTTAGAGCAAGATGATATGAGTGTTGTCATAGTAAATAAGTTCAACTCCATCTACGTGATTTTAAGTTAGACAGGGTCATCAATTTTGTTTCTAGTGTATAATTCATCAGCTGAAACATCCTAAATCTCAGTACTCACACTTCTACTTTTGCTTAGATTTCTAGTGACTGCTAAATCGTAATTTCCTTCAAAAAGGTATTAACGGGACTCGAAGACAAAAAAAAGATTTACTTGTTCTTACTTGTTTTTGAAGCGTAGCTAACTTTTTGCGGAACTCATTACGCTTCTGCTCCAGCATTTCCTGCTTTTTTCGAAGAGTCTCCTTCAACTGCTCAAGAGTGTCTGCTTTCTTCTGCTGAAGCGGCGTAACCTTGGGACCACTAGTGACCCCCAAAGGCTTAGGCTGAACTTCAGAGGATGATGGAGCTCCACCGGTGTGGAAAGCAGAACCCTTTGCAATGGAAGATACATGGTTGCTTTTCGATGCTGCAGCAATAGGAAGCTGGTTCTGCCCTCCAGGAGCAGTCATACCACGACCCTTAAAAGAAGCACCATTGCCAATGGACAGGCCATTATCAGGTATACTATCTCTATTTGCCCACCAAAGTTTGATAAAGCGGTTACCCATCACAGCATCAGGTGCCCTGAGAGCAGATTCAGCCTCTTCGCGTTTCGAGAACTGAACAAATGCTCGCTCACTATTTATTGGGATGTGAATGTCAATAACTTTCCCAAATTTCTTAAAATGGGCAAGAATGAGATCCCTTCTGTTGCTCTCGTGGGGAACACCATTCACAAATAGAGTCCGCATAGCCTTTTGCGTTGGTTTTCTTGTATTGTTCATCGCATCATTGGAAATATTTGTTGAGTCAACAACTTTTGCAACACTTTCACCAATATGGTTTTGTTTACCGTGGCGGGATGAATTAACTGACACCTCCTTCAATTGATCTTCAAGACCAGCTGATGAATTCAATACTGCATCCGCTTTCTCTTTGGAATTCGCATGATTATTAGAACCACGCATTCTGCCCCAAACCGATTGACTTGTGCTTCTTGAGTCTCGAATACCACACGCATTTTCGGGGCCATCTTGGTTATTGTCATCCATTGGAGCTACATTCTCATCAATCCCATGAGAATTTAGTGTAGATAATGCCCCTGAAGTTTCACCACCACTATTATTCCACAAAGGTTGATCAGGATCGTAAAAATCAGTTCCACCTGCACTAGGATATGCATCACCATAACCCAGACCATCAACAGCCATTCCACCCTCGTTAATCTTCCCATGAGCTCCTTTAGTATTCATGAAATTAGCACACCCAAACTGTGCAGGGACTGGTTTAGAAGAAGCTGCCATATGAGGTGCACCAGGGACTGAAACGGGAAGGTTGAACTGTGATAGACTCTGCACAAATGGAAAATGAAGGAAAATTACTCACTTAAGTATTCACAAAAGAAGAACAGCGTAACAAAATGGCAGATAAAGAATCCAGTCATGCAATACAAAGTATTTGCTATTTGACAACCAAGACGATATGCATCGAAAAATCAGAATAGAGTTTAATTTAATGTCACGGAGAAGTACTGCTGAAGGGGCATAAGATGGTCATACTACTAGCAACTTAAAGAAACAAAAATTCAGTATATGATCATGCAAATAGTTATCAAATATCCAGCAAAACCTCTAGGATCTATTACCAGACAAAGCTGATCCCAAGCAAAAATTTATAAAAGAAAACATACCTGAACATCGTCAACAACAATACGATTGATTCCATGCTCCATCGGACACATGTCTCCTCTGAGGCAGAAACCACGTTCCTCAAAGTCTCTGCATCGCTGCCGAGGAATACCCATGTTGAGTGAAGCATTTAAGGGCGGTCTTAAGGACCCTTGCAAGTGATGGAAAGCATCCAAGCCACCATTTAAACCTCCAGGAAGCATTCCAAAAGCAGGCCATGGTGCACTCTGAGCAGCTGAAACACCAGCTAGTCCCCTTCCTCCAAACATGCCCGGTACCATATGAGATGAGAGATCAACAGGATTAAACCTAGAATCACGCTGGGTCCAAGGGCCATAATTTCCTCTACCTCTACCAGGACCAGTGTCCCTTGAAAACATTGGGTTAGATCTTGCTCTTTGATTATCAAACTGTACACGCTGTGCTGACGACGACCCTAGAGACCGCTTTTCATGTTCACCAGACGTATTGCCATTATCAAAATGCCTATAGTTTTTCTTGTACGGCCGTGAGAAAACCTGATCTGAAGAATCTTGTTCCAAGGACTGAGACCTCCTCTCTTCTTTCCTACGGTGCTTATGGTTGCGATCGTCATCCTCCTCCTCGCTGATCTCATGCTCCTCAGGGTCACTCATACAATCGGGTGGAGACAACACGCTTTCCTTTGGAGAGGAAACAGAAAGTTCCATAGACCCACTTGGATAATGCAGAGCTTCTCGTCTCTCATGCAAAACTCTGGTACACAATTTGGTGTCCATCAGGTTATTGAACAACAAAGAGTAATACACCAAAAGAAACCCTAACGATCTAATGTTCAATCAATGCTAAAGAGAAAACCACCAATATGTTTTATCTTCTCCTTCACAAAGCAACAACTTCTATTCTCTCGGGATCCAACAGAGTACAGGTTCATGCTTCGCACATACTATTGATTAAGCTTCTAATTCACACAACAACTCGAAAGCCCTAACCAAATAAGATAGCTCCAGAGTAGCAACAACAATCAGCAGAAACTAAGGGTTTAAACGAACCTAGAGAGCTTCAGAAATTAAAACGAAAAAAATCTTCGAAAGGGAAAATAAATCTTACAGGTGCTCCCGGAATAACCAATGACTCTGTCGCTCTTCTTCACAACCAAAAACTGGATTCAGGCCCAATGACCTAAATCAAAAACAATGGATGGCCATCTTGGGAAGAAATTGGAGAAATAAATAGAGTCGGAGCGATCGTCGATGAAGACTAAATCCGCGGCAGAGATTCTTCGCCGTCGACCTTCCAGAAATACAAGGTGAAACCTGAGAATCACGTCGCCGATAGCGACTGCTCCCGTCGTTAGGGTTTGAAGAGCTGCTGAGAGAGAGGCTAGAGAGATAGAGAGATAGAGAGCTAGAGAGAGAGAGAGAGAGGGGCTTTTTTGTTATCAAAATAAAATTGCAAGGCAAGGCGAGGAGGACAGAAACTAGACTCGAAATTTGGGTTTCCTACCCAAAAATTCTCTCAAGTTTACAGAATGACCCTGTATTCTTATTTATTTATGTTCGCCTATCCAAATTTTTGCCTAATTCATACTAACACTAATCTCTTATTAATTAAAATTTGTAATTCAACATCATTGACCAATTTAATCGATAAAAAATTTGGAATGTATTTTGAAAACAAACATTAGATTATAAATTCTAGTTTAAGAAATTTTATAATCAAATAGTATTATTTTTTAAAAAAATACATTATAATCAATTAAGAAAATATATAATATTAATTTTAATTTTAATTAAAATAATACAGTAAACTGAAATATTAATCTTAAAAAAAAAAAAACAACTTCGTTATAAGCCCAATTACGGTCATATATTCTCCCTAAGGCACGCTAATAAGAAATGCATTCTATGAGTATGAGTATCGCATGTCGTGGAACATCTGATTCTGATATCCTTTGGTAGTCAGTTCACAATGTTTTGTTTTAAATTTGAAACATTATATAAAGGTATAAAATATTACTAGGTGAAAATACCCGACTATGTCGGAATCATACGATAAACATTATCTTAATTTACTATTTCATATACAAATCAGTTATTATTATTCCTATGTGATAGCTGTCCAAAAAAAGAAATTGTGATAAAATATCTATTGAATCAAATTTTATTATTCTTTTTCCTAACTTCTCTATTGATATTTTAAGATTTATTTTAATTTTTAATAACAATATTGATATTTCCTTTCCTAACTTTCTCTTCTGATAATATGTAGTTAAGATTTTAGTGGTGAGCTATTAAACAACTTCTCTTTTAATAATAGTTAAAGCTTTTAATCTTATAGGTTTATGTGTCATTATTTCTTTTTTTCTAATTTTTTATTGATTTATTTTTGTATGTTATCTTTATTACTAAATACTTTCTTTTAAATAGTTATGCAATCTGTTCTAAAAGATAGAGATCGGAGGGGCGATTAGGGTTTCGGGCGATGGTGCACAAGATATGCATATGATGGAGATCGGAGATAAGTCCCGGCCGCCGGGAGATCCGCCAGATGCTCCGGTCTCGTGGGATAAGAAGGTGGTTGGAACAAGTGCGGGAGGGATGCCTGTTCCGGAAGATTTGCTAGACGATGCTTTCGTCAAAGCCCGGCTGAAGGTGGAGTTTCCTCAAGAAGAGGATGGGGAACCAGAGATAACAATCGAAGGCGAAGTACTGGAGGCTATGAACGGCATGTGGAAGCAGTGTATCATTGCCAAGATGTTGGGAAGGAGTGTTGCCATCCCAGCCTTGAGTCGCAAGCTACGGGAGATGTGGAACTTTACAGGATCGATGCACATCATGGATTTGCCAAGACAGTTCTTTCTTATTCGCTTCGAAAGGGAGGAAGAGTACATGGCGGCATTGACGGGAGGCCCGTGGAGAGTGTTTGGTAGCCACCTGATGGTGAAAGCATGGGAGCCGGACTTCGATCCGCTACGCCATGAAATAACCACGACCTCGGTTTGGGTTCGCCTAGCACATATCCCTCTGAACTTTTACCATAAGGCCATATTGATGGGAATAGCGAGAGGTTTGGGGAAGCTAATCAAAGTGGATCTGACCACGCTAAACTTTGAACGTGGGCGTTTTGCGAGAATTTGTGTTGAAGTCAATCTCTCAAAACCGTTGAAAGGAACGATACTTATCAATGGGGACAGGTTCTTCGTGACCTATGAGGCACTTTCGAATATCTGCTCGGCCTGCGGGATGTATGGCCATTTGGTGCATACCTGCCCGAAGAGGAAGTCAGAGAAAGCAGTGGTAGTCGTGGAAGGATCTAAAGGGGCTGAGGGTCGAAGTGCTACATAGTCGAACGAGGGATTCACGACGGTGAGACGAGCACGTAAGGGAGGTGATACCCCATTACGTTTGGTGGTTTTTACGGCAGGAACAACCGGTGAGAACCCGGACAGAAACCTACGGGAAATCCCGGGATTCGCAGGGAAAGAGAATATCGCAACTTCCAATCGATTCCTAAATCTTGGAGAGGATATGGAAGTATCTGATACAAGGCAATCCGGGATCCTAGGAGAAGAGAATAAGGAAAATGAGATATTCCCAAACGTGATGGAAAAAGATTTGAATGTGGGGCGAGTTGGAGCTATGTTAGGGGAAACTCTGTTTGGAAATACAAGTGAGGCTCGCATAGTTGGGCCGAATGATAAAAGAAATAACAAAAAGCCCAATGACAGCATTCGTCTTAAAGTCAAGAAGGCCCACAACAAGCCCACGCGGGGGATAATAGTTGGCCCATCTCAAACGAAAGTAGAATTATCGGGATCGGGCAAACGGCTTCGGGGAGAGAGAGAAAGCCCAGGCAGGTCCGGTGGAGTCTTCGTCGACGGTTCAGCTCTGCCCCTAGAGGGAACCTCAGAGAGACAGGTTGTCGGAGAAGACCTCAGTCTAACTATTCGGCTCGAAGATGGGATGGGCAGAAAGAAGGATGGGATTCTGGGTAGATTGGAGGGAGCGGAGGGGGAGATGGATGCATGACGGGTTTCTCCGGTGGTTCAGAGCTTATCAGTGATTTACGCAACCATGAATTATCTTTTATGGAACTGCCGGGGGGCGAATAAACCCAATTTCCGAAGATCCATTCGCTACATGCTGAAGAGGTTCAAAACAGATGTGTTAGCTTTGTCCGAGACGCACGCATGGGGAGACAGAGCACAGAGAATTTGTCAGGGGCTGGGGTTTGATAGCTCACATAGGGTGGATTCAATAGGACAGAGTGGAGGGCTGTGGCTATTGTGGAGATCGGAGATGGGAGTAGTTATAATTGTTGCCTCCGCGGAGCAATACATATATACGGCACTGGAAACCGGGGATGAGAAGATTCACCTAATCGTTGTATACGCGGCTCCTACGGTGAGCAGAAGAAGTGGCCTGTGGGACCAGTTGAGAGATATTGTTCACACGGCGGAGGGCCCGTGGATTATAGGTGGTGATTTCAATACCATTCTACGATTAGACGAAAGGACCGGTGGGAATGGACGTCTCTCACCGGACTCACTAGCCTTTGGAGAATGGATGAATGCACTTTCTTTGATAGATATGGGGTTCAGAGGTAGCAGTTACACCTGGAAAAGAGGTCGAGAGGCGCAAAATTTTGTTGCGAAGAGGTTAGATAGAGTGCTGTGCTGCCCTCATGCTCGTTTAAAGTGGCAGGAAGCAGTGGTGACGCACTTACCGTTCTTAGCCTCGGATCATGCCCCAGTGTATGTTCAACTGGCATCGGAGGTGAGGGGCAATCCGGCTAGAAGACCTTTCAGATTTGAAGCGGCGTGGCTGAAACATGAGAGTTTCAAGGATCTCCTCACAAACTCATGGAATGGAGTAGTTAGCACGCCAGTTGCTTTGAAAGCACTTAAAGTTAAGCTCCAGAAGTGGAATAGGGAGATTTTTGGAAACATACAGAGACAGAAGGAGAAGCTCACGGGTGAAATTCAAGAGGTTCAGAATCTACTGGAGCGTAGTCAAACAAATGAACTTTTGAACAAAGAGGTTTTGCTATGTAAGAAGTTGGATGAGATCCTGGAGCAGGAAGAAATTATCTGGTTCCAAAACGCTCGAGAAAAACGGATAGCTCTTGGAGATCAAAATACCATGTGACCACACGCAGACTATTGTGAGGAGGAGGAGAAACCGAATAGAGATGCTGAAAGGGGAAGATGGCAGATGGATAGCTGATTCACTGGAACTCGAGAGACTGGCTATAGCTTATTACTCCAAACTTTACTCTATGGAAGATGTAGACAAAGTGGTGGAGAAATTGCCAATGGAGGGCTTTGCAACATTGACGAATGAGGAGATACAGAATCTGACAAAGCCCTTCTCGGCAATGGAGATAGAGAGTTCGGTTAGAAGCATGGGCAAGTACAAAGTCCCTGGCCCAGATGGGTATCAACCGGTGTTCTACCAAGCCTGTTGGGAGTCTGTCGGAGAATCAGTAGTGTGTTTTGCTCTGAACTTCTTTACTACAGGATTGCTTCCAGAGGGGACAAATGACGCTTTAGTGGTGTTCATTGCCAAGGTCCAAAAACCAGAGAGAATAATGCAATTTAGGCCCATCATCTTGTGCAATGTCCTATTCAAGACGATCACTAAAGCAATGGTGATGCGTCTGAAGCAAGTAATGCCGAAACACATTGGCCCGGCCCAAGCAAGCTTTATTCCCGGACGTCTGAGTACTGACAACATCGTAGTGGTTCAGGAGGTAGTCCACTCTATGCGAAGGAAGAAAGGCAGAAAAGGTTGGATGTTGCTAAAGCTGGACCTCGAAAAAGCCTATGACAGAATCAGATGGGATTTTTTGGAGGACACTTTGAGAGTAGCGGGACTTTCGGATCAATGGATACTCTGGATTATGAAGAGTGTGATGGGTCCATCGATGAGG